GTGTTAATTTTGTATAGAATTGCAATTACCGACAAACTATCCAGAGAAACAAAGGGAGAGAGAGAGAGAGAGAGAGAGAGAGAGAGAGAGAGAGAGAGAGAGAGAGAGAGAGAGAGAGAGAAAGAGAGAACACGTGAAGAGAATATATAGACGACAACAATCCTGTTGACACCACAACAGGTATTACTCCACTGACCGTATCACGGTAACAATGTTATTGCAAATAACCGGACTCAATTACGGGCTCACCATAGCCCGTGCTACACACCCACATTTCTTTCTAAGTAGCTAAATCTAAAACAACTGTTGACACCTGCCAACTACACGGCACAACAAAACAAGGATGGACACGACAGTTCCCTGAGAGAACAACGCGTGTTTCTCTGACACATCAAAATCATCTGGCTAGTCAGGAGATGGTACCGAGTACAAGCCTTCAGTTCCGACGGCCACCACGAGTGAAGGACCAATAACTCACCGACCTACGTGCTGTAAAAATGGACTTTTCATGAGAGAGGACCAGCTTATAGGGGCAAATATTGTTTCCTAGCCATTACGTCCCCTTCAACCACCTTCTTATTGAGTTGTAATATACAAATTATAAGTCACAATAACGTGGCTGAAAATCAGACACTCAACTCACATATCTGAAAATAAAGTGACGACGTTTCGGTCCGATTTTATAATGGTCCACGAAGGACTGAAACGTTGGTTACTTCCTTTATTTTTAGATGTGTGGGGCGAGTGTCTGAGCTGTAGTGAGCTCCAGAAACTGAAGAACAATCTTCACAATGACCCTGGCAGGTGTAACCAAAGATCTTTGTCTTAAACTCTAAGGGCACTAACTTGCACCCAATAAAGAATTTATAGATGTACAAGAGAATTTAAAACTTTTCATAAGTTATACTGTTTAATTTAGAAATGGTTTTTAGTTCTGTTTCTAACAGTGTAATTATATACATTAGCTGGCAATTACTGTATAATGTGTCTCTGTAATCTCAAGCTGTATTACATATTAGTACGAATATTACATTAATACCATCAGTATTACATTCACATTTTTTCATCAACGGTATATTCACTCACACCAAGTTGGGATAATTACCCATTCTCTTCCGCTTATTAATATCATCGCCATCATGGGTAATAACAGGTGAAGAATGACCTCGTTTATAAGGTACTTAGTAGCGATCATATCCGGCCGATACATTGTGCCGGATATGAACGGTACATATTCGCCCGATACATTCTTCCGGAACCCACAAGTCTGCTATCACCGTAGTGGGACGTGAGGCGTTATCGGCAAGCTGTCCCACTTGCTAATGTAAAGTTATGCATATCAATTGTTGACACCGTGTGTGTGTGTGTGTGTGTGTGTGTGTGTGTGTGTGTGTGTGTGTGTGTGTGTGTGTGTGTGTGTGTGTGTGTGTGTGTGTGTGTGTGTGTGTCTTTTAGGTTGCACGAAGCGGGTGCTTTTTTCTGCTTTCTTGTGTGTGTTTCTACACGTTTGTGAATACCGCTCTGAAAGTACTGATCAAGTTGAATTTGGAGGGTCGAAGTTTAGTTCCTGGGCGGAGCGAATGTCCGTTTTATTCTTAAAATGTCTACTTCTGAGCCCATGGAATTAGTTAGTCTTATACTGCCCGTACAATGAGGCTGTAACAGTCGCGCTACAAATCATGATGACTCGGTCTGATCGCAAATGGATAAAAACGGGATATAATGACCGTTTATTCAGGGAGAGGGGCGGAGGGAGGGAGGTATGGGGCCTGTGGAAAAGTCTACATGGATCGGGGGATGAGATAGACACCAATACATACACCGGGCGCAGGAATAAGGGTCGAGAGATGCTGTTATTCTCCCTAGGTCGGTGGTTTAAGTGGCGGACCAGCGAGCCGGAGGCTAAACGTTCTTCTGAATTGTGGAATTTAAGCGCTAGGTATCCCGTACAATCTTCCATATGAAGAAAGATTGAAAGAAAGCTTAATAATTTACATTCTCTAGAAAGGCGAAGAGTTAGGAATGACACGATGTGTATGTTGAGGGGGTGGGGACACTAACGTACAAAATGAGACGTACTCGTTAAAAGGGCCCGCTTATGCGGTCAGCTGCGACACCACGGACGGCTGCCCGGGTAAACAGTCACGGACACGGACTCATAATTGTGAGAGGACACGTATAAGGTTGGGCGTGGACGCGGGTGAAGACAGGAAAAGGGCGATTCAGAATGGTGGTCACGGAATGAGGGGGACCAGACACGGCAGCGGTCACGTACACAATACCTTACAAGAGGTGACACGTGTCAGGAATTCACTGCTGAGTTTCACGGTCTTCAGTGAGTTTTGCTTTGTAGATAACTGCTGGCTTGTTGAAACTCCTCAGACGTTCCTTGCTGTAATACCTGGCGTTCCTTGCTGTAACCATGGGTGTTCCTTGCTGTAACCATGGGTGTTCCTTGCTGTAACCATGGGTGTTCCTTGCTGTAACCATGGGTGTTCCTTGCTGTAACCATGGGTGTTCCTTGCTGTAATACCTGGCGTTCCTTGCTGTAACCTCAGGCGTTCCTTACTGTAACCATGGGTGTTCCTTGCTGTAATACCTGGCGTTCCTTGATGTAATACCTGGCGTTCCTTGCTGTAATACCTGGCGTTCCTTGATGTAATACCTGGCGTTCCTTGCTGTAACCCCAGGCGTTCCTTGCTGTAATGCCTGGCGTTCCTTGCTGTAACCCCAGGCGTTCCTTGCTGTAACCCCAGGCGTTCCTTGCTGTAATGCCTGGCGTTCCTTGCTGTAACCCCAGGCGTTCCTTGCTGTAACCCCAGGCGTTCCTTGCTGTAACCCCAGGCGTTCCTTGCTGTAACCCCAGGCGTTCCTTGCTGTAACCCCAGGCGTTCCTTGCTGTAACCTCAGGCGTTCCTTACTGTAACCATGGGTGTTCCTTGCTGTAATACCTGGCGTTCCTTGATGTAATACCTGGCGTTCCTTGCTGTAATACCTGGCGTTCCTTGCTGTAATACCAGGCGTTCCTTGATGTAATACCTGGCGTTCCTTGCTGTAATACCTGGCGTTCCTTGCTGTAATACCTGGCGTTCCTGCTGTAATACCTAGCGTTCCTTGCTGTAATACCTGGCGTTCCTTGCTGTAATACCTGGCGTTCCTTGCTGTAATACCAGGCGTTCCTTGATGTAATACCTGGCGTTCCTTGCTGTAATACCTGGCGTTCCTTGCTGTAATACCTGGCGTTCCTTGCTGTAATGCCTGGCGTTCCTTGCTGTAATACCTGGCGTTCCTTGCTGTAATACCTAGCGTTCCTTGCTGTAATACCTGGCGTTCCTTGCTGTAATACCTGGCGTTCCTTGCTGTAATACCTGGCGTTCCTTGCTGTAATACCTGGCGTTCCTTGCTGTAATACCTAGCGTTCCTTGATGTAATACCTGGCGTTCCTTGCTGTAATACCTGGCGTTCCTTGCTGTAATACCTGGCGTTCCTTGCTGTAATACCTGGCGTTCCTTGCTGTAATACCTGGCGTTCCTTGCTGTAATACCTAGCGTTCCTTGATGTAATACTTGGCGTTCCTTGCTGTAATACCTGGCGTTCCTTGCTGTAATACCTGGCGTTCCTTGCTGTAATACCTGGCGTTCCTTGCTGTAATACCTGGCGTTCCTTGCTGTAATACCTGGCGTTCCTAGCTGTAATACCTGGCGTTCCTTGCTGTAATACCTGGCGTTCCTTGCTGTAATACCTAGCGTTCCTTGATGTAATACCTGGCGTTCCTTGCTGTAATACCTGGCGTTCCTTGCTGTAATACCTGGCGTTCCTTGCTGTAATACCTGGCGTTCCTTGCTGTAATACCTGGCGTTCCTTGCTGTAATACCTGGCGTTCCTTGCTGTAATACCTGGCGTTCCTTGCTGTAATACCTGGCGTTCCTTGCTGTAATACCAGGCGTTCCTTGATGTAATACCTGGCGTTCCTTGCTGTAATACCTGGCGTTCCTTGCTGTAATACCTGGTGTTCCTTGCTGTAATGCCTGGCGTTCCTTGCTGTAATACCTGGCGTTCCTTGCTGTAATACCTGGCGTTCCTTGCTGTAAGGCGTTCCTTGCTGTAATACCTGGCGTTCCTTGCTGTAACCCCGAGGCGTTCCTTGCTGTAATACCTGGCGTTCCTTGCTGTAATACCTGGCGTTCCTTGCTGTAATCCCCAGGCGTTCCTTGCTGTAATACCTGGCGTTCCTTGCTGTAACCCCCAGGCGTTCCTTGCTGTAATACCTGGCGTTCCTTGCTGTAATACCTGGCGTTCCTTGCTGTAATACCAGGCGTTCCTTGATGTAATACCTGGCGTTCCTTGCTGTAATACCTGGCGTTCCTTGCTGTAATACCTGGCGTTCCTTGCTGTAATGCCTGGCGTTCCTTGCTGTAATACCTGGCGTTCCTTGCTGTAATCCCCAGGCGTTCCTTGCTGTAATACCTGGCGTTCCTTGCTGTAACCCCCAGGCGTTCCTTGCTGTAATACCTGGCGTTCCTTGCTGTAATACCTGGCGTTCCTTGCTGTAACCCCCAGGCGTTCCTTGCTGTAATACCTGGCGTTCCTTGCTGTAATCGCAGACACTGCTCGATTTCCTTGACGAAAACGTGTTTTTTTTTTTTTTTTTTTAGTTTTTCGGAGAAAAAAATAGATGTTTCTTGACGGAAACACGGACGGACTTCTACAAAAGTACGTCCGTGTTTTCGTAGACAACGAAAACACGGACCTCAAAACACGAAACACAGCCCTCCGGCAGACTAACATTCCTTGACGTAAATGTCAATGTTTCTCGGCGATAAAGCCAGTGTTGTTTTCGACAATGCGCGAGTGTCTTTGGAAAAAACGCGGGCGGTCTATTTATGCTAACACTTTGTTCAATGGAAAAAGCGTGTGTTTCTTGGCGGAAAAGCGGGTGTTCTTTGACAACAATACCGGTGTTTCTCGGTCAAGTAATCAAGAAAAAGCACTGAGCCAGTATGACTATAGATCACTTTGAATATGAGGACAAGTGGGAAAAGGGGGGAACTGGGAATTTAGGACAGAGGGAAGGAACGCTGCCCAACCGCTTTGACCATCGGAGATCGAACGACGACCCTGCAAGAAGTAAGGTCCGTCGCCGTACTGACCAGTCCACATGAATGGATAGGGATGATTGATTGATTGATGAAGATTAAGCCACCCAAGAGGTGGCACGGGCACGAATAGCCCGTAAGTGGTACAATTTATTTTTCTCAGTATTCTGAGGTTGCATTTAACCATCAAGCTGTTATCGCGGGGGAGGATACTGCTTCACAGTCTTTATGAGGGTGTCCAGCTGCTGGACACCTTTGTTGACCAGGAGAGTGGCTGTGTTGATGGCTTCAGGGTGGCCACTGCATGATTCAGGAACTCTTAAAGCTCTTCTAAGGTCATTGGTTGCTTCACATTCCAGAAGATAGTGAAGTAATGGCTTTTCTGTGACAGTTTTTCAGAAGATGCACTCTCTCTCTGTCGGGGTTCACCAATCTCCCAGTTGCATTTGTAATGGATAGGGAACGAGGGGGGGGGGGGGCTTTTATAATACCCGTGACATTAAGAGGCTTGAATTATATATAAACCCTTTTCTCCTCTTCACATTCATTTCCCCTCTCTGTTCATAGTCGAAACATTTCACGTATACGCCCTTTCCCCTCACTACTACTCCATCCCGAAGAGAAAAAAAGTACGCACTCGCTTGCGTCACTAATCCTAATGTCGTAGCGGAAGTCACACTGTCAACGAATGCCAGTTTTAGTGCTTATATTTTTGCGTTTCATTCGTGGAAAAAATTGGCTTGCCTCTCTCTCTCTCTCTCTTTAATATACACGATGCCTGCGCTGACGTATGTATGTTCACTTGGACAAAACTGAACTGAATAAACACCCCGCAGCACCTCTCCCCCCCCCCCCAATCGCATGTGGCAGCGAATGTGACTACGTTTCGGTCCCTTGTTTTCATGCTCATGTAGGGGGGGGGGATTTGTTTACTTATTCTCGGTGGGCAATATAATACTATGCAGCAAGTGAATAGTATCCTCATGCCCATACGGCGTCTGGGAGATAGTATAATGTAACTATTATATTTCACATGTAGCACTTAGTAAAAATCCAAACAGGTGCCCCCAGTACTTCCCAATGTAGCACTTAGTAAAGAATAAAACAGGTGCCCCCAGTACTTCGAACGTAGCACTTAGTAAAGAATAAACAAGACCAATGTACTTTCTATATATTACTTGGCAAAAATTAAAACAATCCCCCCTCCCCCCCGTGTAATACTTGGTAACACACACACACCCTCCAGGCCTGATGCAGTTCTACACACGGAAGAAACTAGACAAGACGGAACAAAACTGTCCCCGTAAAACCCGTAGCACCGCGAATTACAACCAAGTGAATGTTGTGAGCCTCATGATCTCTCAAGTCTCTTCGCTAAACTGAAGCCTGCAGCAACATTAGGATTACAGAAAGACCTTTTAATACAGAGATTAGACGACGCCGCTGCTGTCTTACGGCCCCGCTGGCTGACGTCAGGAAAGTATTCAAGGGACGTTTCGTCAAAAGTTCCGCAGCTATTAAAAGAGAAATAATTTCCCCTTCGCTAACACGCTCTTCAACTCCTCTTTAACCCCCTTTGCAGGCGGTAATGCGACAATTTCTTGTTCCTATTGTTGTATTATGCCTCTATACTACGCCTTATGGCACTCTGTGGAGGGTCATGGAGCGAGAAATTCGTCAGGAGAGAGGACGTTAAGTGCAGGAGGGATGTTGTTGGCTGGCCTCTCACTGTTCACGGTTGGGTTGGGTTTGGTGATGTAGTAGAGAGAACAGTCGTGTCAGGAAATAGAACAGTCGTGTCAGGAACTAGAACAGTCGTGTCAGGAACTAGAACAGTCGTGTCTGGAACTAGAACAGTCGTGTCTGGAACTAGAACAGTCGTGTCAGGAAATAGAACAGTCGTGTCAGGAACTAGAACAGTCGTGTCAGGAAATAGAACAGTCGTGTCTGGAACTAGAACAGTCGTGTCAGGAAATAGAACAGTCGTGTCAGGAACTAGAACAGTCGTGTCAGGAACTAGAACAGTCGTGTCTGGAACTAGAACAGTCGTGTCTGGAAATAGAACAGTCGTGTCTGGAACTAGAACAGTCGTGTCAGGAAATAGAACAGTCGTGTCAGGAACTAGAACAGTCGTGTCAGGAAATAGAACAGTCGTGTCAGGAAATAGAACAGTCGTGTCAGGAACTAGAACAGTCGTGTCAGGAACTAGAACAGTCGTGTCTGGAACTAGAACAGTCGTGTCTGGAAATAGAACAGTCGTGTCTGGAACTAGAACAGTCGTGTCAGGAAATAGAACAGTCGTGTCAGGAACTAGAACAGTCGTGTCAGGAAATAGAACAGTCGTGTCAGGAAATAGAACAGTCGTGTCAGGAACTAGAACAGTCGTGTCAGGAAGTCATGTCAGGAAATTAGAGTATTGAGAAAATCAACTTCGAGATGACTCGAACTCGCGACGGAGAGACTGCATGTCGGTGGCGCTAACCACTGGACCGCCCTGTCCTTAGTCAGACTTAAGCAACCGGATTCCTACTAAAATCACAGGAAGTTTGGAGGCCTCTACTGAAGCCAGTCTCAAGTTTTACCAATGAGTAAAATATGGACTATGAGGCTAGCGACAAGGGTCTGACCTCCAACCCCTAAACAGACACACAGACATTCTAATGTGTAGATATAGATAATATATAATTAATATAAATACCACCACAACCGGGCTGTGGTGGATATGTGGGCCTCCGGGGCGCTCCAAGCAACAGGCTAGTGGACCAAACTCTCACAAGTCAAGCTTGGCCTCGGGCCGGGCTTGGGGGAGTAGAAGAACTCCCAGAAACCCCATCAACCAGGTATCAACCACATGTATATTCAGTACATTATTCACAATACAGTATATTGCATCACTAATACAAACGCACCTCCGCCTTCCAGTATAGTATAGAGTATAAAGCAGCACCTCCGCTACTCCGTAAGCCCAGGGGTACAGTGCTCCTCGTGCCCCACCATGTTCCACCAGCATCACCACAATGCTTCATAAGACCTTGTGTATAGTTCTCTTCACAGCCCCGCTCCTGTGCCAGGTAAGTCCACTACGGGATCACCATAGCCCGTGCTAATTGGAACTTTTGTTCCAATTGACTGACTAAAACAACAACAACATCACTACACCCCGGGCACCCATCCATAGCAGCCGCCCTCCCACAACCCCCATTACTTTGTTATTGTCGTGTGACACACAACTGCATTCACTCTCGTGTGACACACACCTGCATTCACTCTCGTGTGACACACAACTGCATTCACTCTCTTCTTTCAAACCACTTCCAGCCACTCTTGTTCTTTACTAGATCACACGTGTGTTGACCAGACCACACACTAGAAGGTGAAGGGACGACGACGTTTCGGTCCGTTCTGGACCATTCTCAAGTCGATTTGAGAATGGTCCAGGACGGACCGAAACGTCGTCATCCCTTCACCTTCTAGTGTGTGGTCTGGTCAACATTCTTCGGCCACGTTATTGTGACTCGTCGCCTGCACATCCGTGTGTTGTCTGCACTATCACGCACACACTCACGCCACCTCAGCCCAACTTCTCCCAGCGTTAACTCCCCCTCCTGCCCTCTGAAAATTCACTTGAATGTTCGTTCTTCCCCTGTTAACCCGTCATCTAGTCGTTTGACATGGCCAAACCACCTCATTAAATTCTTCCTCAGTCCTGCGGTCTATTGAATTTTGCGCTCCATGCATTTTTTTTTTTTTTTTTTGGTCCATGTCTTTTTCATTCCTGGCTTTGTTTATTTTGATCTAATTTTAGATTTGCTTGCGTTCACACACAAAAAAACTTTGTCTTGCATACATAAAAATTCGTACATTTATACACCATTATATATATTTCGTTCCTGAGTTGTTTGATTTACAAAGTTGTTTTGAAGTACTTAAGAGTACTTCGGTGCTTCACCATCTATAACAAGCTTCTTGAAGACTCTCTTGTCGCATTTACACGTCATTAGTGTTGCTTCAGTCAGTGCGAGACGTTACGTGATGTTATTGTTGTTAAAGATTTAGCTACTCAGGACGAAGTGTCCATGTAGCACGGGCTATGGTGAGCCCGTAAACGTTACGTGAATACAGAGACATATTTATGCTACTCGTAAAGAAGAACGCAGTGTGGTGGAGTTAAGTTGGATTAATATCATACGTGCATCCACCTTTTTTAGGTGTGTGGGGGGGGGGGGGAGGTGGAGAGGCATAGGTGAAGGGAAAAGTTTAGAAATTGGAAATAAAATTTTCAAATGCAGGCGATGAGTCACAATAACGTGGCTAAAGTAAGTAAATCGACTTGAGAATGGTCCAGGACGGACCGAAACGTCGTCGTCCCTTCACCTTCTATTGTGTGGTCTGGTCTACGAAAATGATCAAACTTCTCATCAGAAGATGGAGAAACGACGACGTTTCGGTCCTTCTTAGGCGATTATCAAGTCGTAAATGGACTTGATAAATGATCCAGGTCGGACCGAAACGTCGTCGTCGTCTCCTCATCTTCTGATATGTGTGGTTTGGTTATCATATCTTCAGCCACGTTATTGTGACTCATCGTCTGCAATTGGAAATATAGTATGAATTATGATAGCAGACCTCCTCTACCCTGCTATCACTGCAGTCATGAGGGATGGGGGGGGGGGGGGGGGAGCGGGTGGTGATGGGTAGTAATGGGAGAGTGATGACGGGTGGGATGGGATAGTGGTGATGGGGAGCAGTGGCGACAAGATGGGGTGAAACACTATGAGAATCCAGCCATTGACGGCCATTTGCCGGAGCCAATGGAGGGCTTTACGGGCTCACCATACCCCGTGCTACTTGGAACTTGTTCCGAGTAGCTATAACAACAACAACGGAGCAGGCGGAGACGCAACCTATTAGAGCCATTGAGTGAACACACACACAACCCCATCCTAACCCACAACCTCACGACCTTTGCGCCAGGAAGGAGCTATGCCACCTGTATTCATAAGGTTTAGTCCTCTATACAGCAAAGCCAGAAACGTGACCTGTAATTAACAAGTCTCATTAGTATCGTCTAGTAACTCATTCTTCCTAGAGCAATGAATTATATGAAATAATTCTGTGGTTGGAAACGTAATTTGGGTACAATGATGACTCCGTCTCACCTCACTAATTGGCCTAATTACACCAATAAAACGTCCAATTACCCTCCCCAGTTGAGGGGTTAGCCACGCCCTCTGCTGGGAAGGGGCGGGACGACCTGGATAATTATCTGTCAGTCTTGCAGGCTCCGTGATAGCTGTCATTAACCCGTTCTTGCTTGATAGCCGCCGGGGGTTGAGACGGTTCGTATAAACCACTTTTGGTACATTATTTGCTTATCGTTTGTTTAATTGGACAGAATGGTTAACTTTTTTGTTTATGCCTTGAGTGATGGGGAGACAACTTGTCTTCTCCCCAGGCCAAGTGATGGGGAGACAACTTGTCTTTTCCCCAGGCCAAGTGATGGGGAGACAACTTCCTTTCTCATACCCGGAAGGACGGGGGAGAGAAACTCGCCTCCCCACATCGAGTGGTACCTATCCTCCCCTGAGAATGGTGGTGAAATAAACACCCCTCTCCCTCACCCCGAGTGGTGGAGAGCTTACCCTTCAACAGCACCCTCCTTTCCTCCCCATCCCCCTTTCACAACGTGAGGAAAGACAACTTCTTCCCTATTCCGAGTTGTGGGGAGACAAGGCAGCACTATATCTTATAGTGTTATCTTGAGATGATTTCGGAGCTTTGAGTCTCCGCGGCCCGGTCCTCGAGCAGGGCCTCCATTTTGTTACACACCCCTAGAAAGCAGCCCGTAGCAGCTGTCTAACTCCCAGGTACCTATTTACTGCTAGATGAACATGTGCATCAGAGTGAAAGAAACTCTGACTATTTGTTTCCGACTCCACTGGGGATTGAATCCGGAATCTCAGGACCACGAATCCGAAGCGCTGTCCACTCAGCTGTGGACAGAATGGGAGAACCCATTCTCCCAGTAGGGGTTGCTGTTTTCTTGACCAAAGGGCTTGGTAAGGATAGGGATTGGGAAAGGGGGGGACGGAAATTCAGGAAATAGGATGGGGGTGGATAGAAATATTACTTATAGGATGGGGGTGGATAAAAATATTACTTATAGGATGGGGGTGGATAGAAATATTACTTATAGGATTGGGGTGGATAGAAATATTACTTATAGGATGGGGTGGATAGAAATATTACTTATAGGATGTGGGTGGATAGAAATATTACTTATAGGATGGGGGTGGATAGAAATATTACACAGTGGTTGACAGCCAAATACTGCATACATTTTAATAAACAATATGGCGAGGCATATACATTGTGCTTGGGAAAAGGGCGCTTCTTTCAGATCAGATAAGACATTTCTCAGGCTTTGAATATTGTCATTGACTCAAAAATGGTTGTAAAGCTCAAGTAAGTTACATGTATTGAAAATTAGAAACATAAAAATTTCCTTGGCTTGAAAATAAAGTTATGGATCGCTTGTAAAAACATGCAGCATGCTTTACACTTTATATATTTGTAAAGTGTTAGGACATTTCGTGTCAGTCGTGACATCCCTTGACTGAATGATTTATGTTAATTTATTATGCATCTCATACCCGTCCTCCATATGCCCACTAATGTGGGCATTAGTAGCTCCCGTACCTGTCCTAGGGCAGTATTGGGTCCCATACCCGCTCCTTGGGAGAGAGTGGAAAAAGCTACAGAGGCAGATAATGGGCTCAGAAACTGAACCCAATAGTTCACAGAGTCAGGCATGTAACAATCCTGTGAAGCTACTTACACAAATTTTAACATATGTGTCAATTGTCTTTTGTTTCACAAGTGGTTCAAGAAGTGATCCACATCAGCCTTTATAGAGAGCAATTTACATCTATGGTGAACCAGTCACACAGTCACTAGTGGTGCTCCACACTCACCCAACTGGTTGTGACTGCTACTCTGCTGTCACACGCATGCACAGCCCACAGTAAGCACACTTTGGATATCTGGTTACGATTTCAGGTACTACATCATTTTGAATGAAATACACATATTTGAATTCTGTTGTCTCTTTTTTGTCACATTCCAATACATAGTGGTGTAAACGAGGCGAATATCCTTTGAGACAGGGAAATACAGATAAACTTTACACACACACACAAAATCCCATCAGGCAATGCTGTGGCGGAGACTGACTCCATAAACAGTTTCAAGTGTAGATATGACAGAGTCCAATAGGCTCAAGAACCTGTACACCAGTTGATTGACAGTTGAGAGGCGGGACCAAAGAGCTCAACTCCCGCAAGCACAAATAGGTGAGTACAAGTAGGTGAGTACAAATAAGTGAGTACACACATACATAAGGTTTACCTGTG